AGAGAGAGAGAGAGAGAGCGCGCGCGCGCAAGCGGGGGGAGGGGCAGAGAGAGAGGGAGACACAGAATCCCAAGCAGGCTCCAGGCTCCGAGCTGTCGGCACAGAGCCCGATGCGGGGCTCGAACTCACAAACCATTAGATCATGACCTGAGTTGAAGTCGGACGCTTAACCGACGCAGCCCCCCCAGGCGCCCCGAAAAGCTATTTCAAAAGGTTGTAGAGGCGTGCCTATACAATACGTATGCACTGATGCTTGTGTGTAATATGAATAAGTGTGCAGGTTAGGGAAGCAGGAGGGAGAAGAATGTTCCAGAGTCAAAAAGCTTACAGTTGAATCTCAGTGCTGCCATGTAGCTAGGTGACCTTGGGTCACTTACATAACCTCTCGGGGCCTCCTCTCCCATCTGCAAAACAGGCCACGAGAGCGCTCGCCCTGCGGGGTGCTGGGAGGACTGACCGGAGGACTGAGTGAGCCCAGGGTGCTTAGCGGGGAGCCCCGCACAAAGCAGGTGCACCGGAAGTACTAGCAACAACTGCTGCCTCCTCCCCATCTCGCTCAGAGCTGGGTGTGCACAAACTCATCAATGACCTGTTCTCCAAATCCGTCCCTTGCTCAACCTCAATGACTCAGAGGCAGCCACCTGGCGCTCACCACCTCCTGTCCCCTGAGGCTCATCTAGAAGACGCAGCCCACAAATCTCTGTCTAGCAAACCGCTGCCTTCTTCTGCCCTTGATCCGCTCCCCACTCCCCCACCCCCAGGCTGCTGGGCTGGGGAAGAGCGACACATTGCGGGGGCTGCCTCAGCTCTGGGCTACCCTCCACCGGGATGTCTGCGCCATCAGCTGGCTGGGGGAGGGGGAGAGGGAGTCGGGGAGCCTCCGGGGAGGGGGAGGAGCCCAGGCAACCAGCACTCCCGGACTGGGGAGCCAGGGAGGGCGGGCGAGGGGATACCAGCTCAAAGGGATCCATCCTTGGCATTCGGGAGTGGGTGGCAGCTGGCACTAATCCTGGGTATAGAAATGGCAGGGCCTCCCTGGGAGCCAGGGCCAGGTCATGCTGAGGCCAGCAGTGGCACTGGGGCCCCTCTGTTCTTGAACAGCTGTCTACACCTTTGGCATAGGGTTTGAGAGCTGGGGAAGGAGTGTGGGCTCAGCCAGGACAAGAGGAAGGTTCAGAGAACAGACACACACACACACACAGGCTAGTGCAGGAGTCCCTCATGAGGGCGGGGTGCCTGGCTGGGGAGGAAGGAGGGAGAGGGTCCAGTAGGCATGTGCGTGGGTGCGGGAGATGACTCCGGTTTTGCGGGTGTGCACCTGGGTCCCGGTGTGGAAGCCTCTCGTTTCGGTGCGAGCTGGGGCGAAGGGGCGTTTTGGCTCTAGCTCTGTCTTGTCTCTTTGCCTGAGCCTCTCCAGCAAGTCGGCAGAGAGAGGTTTCCCTTTTTGGAGGGTGGGAAAATATGGCTCATCAGGCGGTACGGTCACGGCCTTATAAACACACATAGATCATAGGACATTCCTCTGTGTGACCCTTAGCTCCACCGAGCTGGGATTTGTACACATGAGAGAGAGAGAGAGAGAGAGTGTGTGTGTGTGAGCTAAGGACTACGTGTGTGTGTGAGTGTGCATGTGTGTGTGTGTGTGTGTGTGTGTGTGTGGCGTTCCCTGTGTCTGACGTCTGCCGGGAATGTGTCTCTGTGTCTTTGATGCATTTGTCACGTCTTCAAGGCGCTGCCTGGGTCCACAGCTGGCTCTGTGCTTGTGAGTGCTGGGTCCACGTTTGCCTTCAAGAAGTCACGTCACGGGGGGTCAGAAGCCCAGGCTCTTCCACACCTCAAACAATCCTAGGCTCAAACCTGTGTTTGGACAGTAACCAATCCATTTACCTTGGATGTGTTCCTGCACTTCTGTCCGCCTCAGTTTCCTCCCAGGGATAATAATAGCACTAACCTCCCAAGGTTCTGGCCAGGACTAAGTGAGATTAAATCACGCGCCTGGCATAGGTCAAGACACGTTAACCGTCCAGTCTTTGAGCATGCCTCTCAGAAAACCACGTCTTCGTAGTTGTGCCCATAATGTGTGACACCTCCGTCGGATTACAAGTCGTCTGTAAAAAGAAATGTTTTAACGTTTATGTATTTTTGAGAGGCAGAGCATGAACAGGAAAGGGGCAGAGCGAGAGGAAGACGCAGAATCCGAAGCAGGCTCCTCCAGGCTCCGAGCTGTCCGCACAGAGCCCAACACCAGGGGCTTGAAGGCACCAGCTATGAGATGGTGACCTGGGCCAGAGTCTGACCTTTAACGGACTGAGCCACCCAGGCGCCCCCGGATTAGAAGTCGTTTTAAGGCAGATCACGGATCTTAACTATTTTCTGACGACACTCAGTGCAACTCCTTGTTCGTGGGGTTCGTGGGCAGCAGGTGGTGCCACAGGGATGAGGGCCCCCTCCACGCCCAACGGTGCACCCCTCCCCCGTCTCTCTCTGCAATCCCAGGTCCCCTCCCTCCTGTCTCCGCCAGCCTTCCTCCTTTCTCCGCTCACAGCTCCACAAGCATCAGCCAAGGCGCCAGGTGGGCCCGTGTGGCTTTTTAGGGGCCACCCGAGGAGGGTACAGGGGCCCTCTCCCGTCTACAGGGTGTGTCCCTCCCACGCAGCGCGGGGGCCTGTGTTGTGTGCATGTGTCTGTGCGTCGCTCTGTCGCGGCGTGTGAGTGACGTCTGCCTCGGTACGAAGCTGCTCTGTGTTTTGGCGGGTGCGGGCGTCCGTCTGCTGCGCGACGCGCCCCGGTGCCGGGCTTGCTCTCCTCCCCCTCAGCGCTGCGGGTTACATAAGCGGGACTCGGGCCTGGGCCCCGGGCGCCCCCTGCTGGCAGCCTCCGGAACTCCCGGTCCAGGGAGAGGCTCGTGGAAGAAACTGGTTCTGGCTTCAGCCACCTCCCCCCCCCCCCCCCCCCCGGAACAGCAGTCCTGCCCTCAGCATCTACCTGCGCCGGCTCCCTCCCAGCCCCAAGCCATAGGATGTTCTCAGCAACCCGAGTGTCCCCTCTCATAACGCTCCCATTGGGGGTGGGCTATTACTTGCTTATGGCCTGTCTCCCTGGCACGACCGTATGTTCCCTGAAGGCAGGCGACCGGGTCTGCCACGCTTGTCACAGCATCTCCGGTGCCCAGTACCAGGCCTGGCCTAGTCAGTGTTTGTTGACTAAGTAAGTTTATAGGGTGCAGAAGCTTGAGAAGGGAGACAGTGGGATGTGGGAAGATTTGGGGCTCTGGGGACAGACAGGCCTGAGCTCATCAGACACTGGCCACTTAAAAGCTGTGTGGCCTTGGCGAAGACGCTTAACCTCTCTGAACCTCCAGTTTCTCATCTGTTAAATGACACCATCTGGCAAAATATGCTGTCAAGACTAGAAACGATACCCGGAGGGGCCTACTGTGTAGACATCCCATAAACGGCATTGGGACGATCGGATGGGCAACGTCTCCCAGCTCTCAAGCATCAGGAAGGCAGAGCAAGTGCACTCTGCTCCCCCCCAAAAGGGAGAGCGGTTTCCCTTTAAAGCTTCCCTATGCCTTTCCGTTTTCACATCGCCCAGAACCACGCATGGATGCATTTAGGTGAAATGGATCTGGAGAAATCAGGCTGTGAATATCTCAGAGTGGGAGGAAACAGGCACCTGGGCCAGTCCTGGAAGTCTTGGGAGGGAGGGCTGTCCCTTGCTGAGATCCGCATTCTGCTAAAGAGTTTCTCTGATCTCTGAATGTGGCTTCAACTGAGCACCTCCTCTGAGCCAGGCACTGACTGTATCCAGGGAAGATCTGGTCTGACCTCTGTCACTTCCCCTCTTGGGGCCTCAGTTTCCTCCTCTGTAAAAGGACTGGGAGGGCGTGGGGACTGGGAGGGGCATGGGCTGTGGGGTCACTTCCCAGGGCCGGCGCCTTTGACAGCCTAAGCTTTGCAGACCTGGCTGTCCCTTCTTCTACCTGGCCCCATCCTTCCTGCACCTGCCCATGCCCCACCTGCTCCGTGGCTGGGAAGAGACCCCCTTCCCATCCTCCCGCCTCCTGGGCAGGCCCCACCGTTCCCAGTGCCAGCCGAGTCCAGCTCTCCTCACTGGAGACAGACTCCTTCATGCAATCGCCTCGCTGCTCCTATAAACGCTAAGCAAAACCTCTCTCAGGAAGCGGTTTAAATAATCATTCAGAAACGAAAACTAAACCCCATAAACACCCTATCTCCTATTCCGTGTCATCTGTGCCAAGAACCTCGTGTACATTATGTCAATTAATCGTCACAGAAGCGCCTTGGGGTGGATGTCGTCTCAGTCCAGTGTGCCACCAGGGAAACAGGTTGAAGGACGTTAACCAACTGGACGGGATCCCCAACCAGGAAGTGATGGCGCCCAGACGGCGCACCCTCCTAACGCACTCCCTCTGGTTCTGCCCCGAGGGGGTGGCAAACAGGTCTCCCGCGACCTTGTGAGGCCTCGCTGCGCCCTTCAGCCCCGGCCCTCCGCATTCCGGAACTCCTGGGTCCCGCCCATCCTCACTAGAGCGGGGTTTGCAGCGAGGCCTAACGGCCCACGGCAAGTGATTGGATCCTAAGTGCGTGGCCAGTCACCTGACTGACCCCAAGGCCCCCTCACCCAACTCTCAGGGAAAGGCCTGAAGGTGCGGGGCGGTGGGACGATGCGGGGTAGGGATTTGGCTGAGCCCAAGTGCCGCCCCCTGGTGCCGGCCGGGGGTCGGGGCGGAGCCCGGACCCAGGTAGGCGGGTCGGGCCCGGGTCCCGGCGTCGGGGCGGGGCTGAAGTCGGGGCTCGGGCGGAGCCCGGACCGAGAAGGGCGGAGCGGGGCCGGGGTCAGAAGTCAGGTTAGTTCTGGGACCGGGGTCTGGGAGGCTCTGAGCGGGTCCGGGGTCCGGGGTCTGAGGGGGTCCAGGGTCCGGGTACGGAGCGGAGACGGGACGGGTCCAGGGTCCGGGGTCTGGGAGAGTTCGGGATGAGGGGTTGGGGTGGGGCTGGGACCGAGA